CCCCAAAACCCCAAAACCCCAAAACCCCAAAACCCCAAAACCCCTTACTATAAAATCATTATTGAAAATTTAGAGCTTATTCTTTTTCATTCGTGGTCTTGTGTCGATTTCTTCTTCACTATTCGAATCTTCATCATATGAAGAATCTAGAAATTAGTTAAGCAGTTGTACCTTTATCAGGTCAGCTAGATTTCTCAGAATCTTCACTGAACTCTTCTATAAGGGGTTCTGGTATATCCTAAAAGTTACATGAAAAGGCTTACAAATTGTATTTCTTGGGGTTCTTTTTGCCCGGATCGTTTCTGGGAGCTTATATATACTGTGAGAACTGATGCATCTCCTTTCTCATCTTAGAAATATTCTTGTTCTGGCTATCTTTCACTGTGTACTTATCGTATTGGGGAGATATCTTGTTCAGGCCTCTCTGACGCTTGGAAATAGATACTACTTCTTGGTTCAAGGGAGACTTCACTCTTGAACTTCTATAACTGCTTGAAAATTCACTATTAGATTCCTCTTCAATTATAATTCCAAATTGATTTGATCATTCCTTGAATTCATTCCTTCTTGTCTCCGCCCTCTCAATTTCTTTGCAGTTGTCCTAGAAGCCTTTTTCGGTAGAGGTCTTTTGGATAATGAGTTTACACTCTGGCGAACATATTCTGAGTACACTTGAAAATAAAGGTCTTCATCATCTGCAAGCATATAATCCACGCTAGGGATTTCATCATTGTTCATTTCATTAGAAATCTCATAAATATCTGTGAAGCGGGGTCTCTTCTTCTCTTTCATCGGGATAGGAGGCGTTATAAGACCAACTACTTTAATATCCTTTGTTAAGTCAAGGAAGAGCTCATATCTTTCAACAGTTTCCTCTCAAAGGTAATCAAGGGACTTTAAATCATCTTGTATCGAAACTTCCTTACTCTCTTCCTTATTTTCTTCTCTCTTCTTCAATCCATTATGTATTTTCTTTTGAATCTCTTTAATGACGTCCTTCAAGTTTTGAGTTAATTTTTCATTTTTGAGTGTGTCCTTCAGAACTGATTTCAAAATAGTCAGCTCCTGAAGGCTGAGTTTGTCCTCTTCCAAGTACTCCCAAATAATCTGTGGGAAGAAGTAGCTAGTACTGTTATTGAAGTTCTCCTTAAACAGTTTTAAACACATCAACAATGTGATGACCAACGGGGAAATTTTGTCAACGATAGTGCAGTTTTCTGAGTAGCCAAGCTCTTCCATTTTTGAATAGGAGATTGAGGCCTCTTTAAACAAGATTCAGGCGTACCTCAATACCTTCTGCCCACTCATAGTAGTAAGGAGGCTCAAGAACTCGTTCTTTGATGACTTATTTCTTCGTTTCCTGTACAAATTTTGGTTCAAATTTACTTTGAGAATGAAGAGGCAAGCCTCAAAAATTTGAATGGCTTGATTTCTTCTTTTGGCTCCATATTTTCTAAGGAATATTTCAAAAGTTTCATCCATCTGAGAATATACGATATTGTTTGTAGAATTCCTCTCATCTTTGGAATTGCCCGGCTCGTTGATTAATAAAGAACCAATGATGAGAGCACAGTAGATACTTTCATTGTTCATGATCCTATCTTGGAAATACTCAAATTCTTTAGTCAACGGTGGATTTCCCAGATTGTGCTCTAGAAGGATCTTCATCAGCCCTTGAGTGACCAAATGTCTTACATGAATATTTCAGCAGAGACAAAAGTTTGTGATGAGTAATGACAATAGCTTGTTCGATAGTTGAAGTCTGATTTGATCATTCTCCTCTAAGCTATGATTTGGAACTATCCTATCATTATCATCTCTTATCAAGGTGTAATCATCAGCTCAATCAAGCCCAATATTTTCTAGAATGCAGAACATATCAAACAAAGCTTTGATTATTGTAATAATCTGAGGAACTTTTGTATTCTCTTCTATAATCTGGTCAGGAGTCGCTCCACTGTTGGCTATCATAGTTTGATAAATTCTCAAAAAAGATGCAGATAAATCCTTGTCAAATAGAAGGATATCAACAATAATCGAGAGTCAAATATCGATGTTCTCTATATCTTTGTTCTTGATATGCTCAATGACGCACCCTCCAACCCAGGTCATGGTGTGATCATCAGTGCCATTCTTCACAGTCAGTTGGCACAAGATCTGAATTATCTTAAGAGTCCTTCTGTTAATGATCTTTTCGTGAAGACTACAGTTCTCAAGATTTTTCTTTACAGACTGAATTTTGGAGATGGTTTCTCCAAACTTCTCATCGATTTTCCTTTGCTCATCCTTAGGCAAATTTGAGCTCATTCTCTTCGTCTCGGTCAACTCAGTGATTCTTTCAATATGCTTGTTAAGGTCTTTTTCATAAATAAATTTCAGTTGAGGGATGCTCGACTCGATCTGGTCCTCAGCTTGGTTCTCATCAAATTCAGTTTCAAGATCCTCACGAATGGTCCTAATAGCGTCCTTTACGCTGCTGATGAACTCAGGGATCTCACTGAGCGAAATTTGGAACAAGACGATTATCATAATCACGCAGACGTCATCTGGATCGGATATGAACAGGTTTGAGGTAACCGGCTTGCACAGAGTGTTGATTGTCCTCTTCTTAAGGTAAATATTCTTGAAATTTCGAGGTGTTGTCTGACAGTACTCTATATCGTGGATGTCTCTTTCATTTTCAAACTCATCCTGAAGCGCCTTGTTGATGATTTTAGTGTAATGCTGGATCGAAGGGTCTGAGTCTGAGATGTAGTTCAGAAATAAGTTCTTAATCGACTCATGAATTGAGGGGATCGAGTGAGGCATGTGCAAGGAGTACTTACTCCATTCACTCAGAATCTCCAGCTCTTCTCTTTTTGGAATTGAATTTTTAGTGAAATACTCAAATACTTTCTCATAATCGTCTATTTCTGGTATTATAGGGTCAAGTGAGTCATATCCTTCTTCGATGTCCTGAAGGAGTATCTTTGTGCATTCCATTGCTATCCTAATAAAGGAAAAGTGGGAGAAAAAGACTGATTTTCCTTTATTTTCCCTGCACAATTACTTCAATGATTGTTTTGTAGACACTTTCTACACATTTTAAGACATCTTCACGGTCAAATGTAGTGAATACAAAGTTCATATATCTAAGAGGGAGATCACTGAATCCATCAATGTAATGAGTTTTATGAATTTTTAGTTTTTGGAAAATTTCAAATATAGTCATCTTAACTTGCTTCTCTCTTGATCCTTCATACTTAAAATCATAATTAAGATGAATTTTAGAGACACCATCTCTGGGATTATCTTGAAAATCGTATGCCTCTTCATCACTTTCATCTTTGGAGCATTCTTTAACCTCTTCTTCAGGAGACTTCACTCAAAAACTCAGTAAGAAATTGTAAAAGGAGTTCTTTGCTCTAGAATCATTTTCACTTAAGCCTCTTGTAATGAACCTATAGAGCTTCCCTTCAGGAATTTTGAAAACATGCATCTGGCCTTGAAGCTTCTCGTACAGAGCAGTTCTGACGTTCGGCTCTTTATCCATTCAAAGTTCGTGGATTTTAAACACTTTGGCTTTAGAAAGATTCATCATTCTTATACTTTTCTCCCTGATCTCACTCTTGGGATTGGTAAAAGCTACTTTCAAGAAGAGGTCATCAAAGATCATGTGGATCTCACGTATGAAACCTCTAAATATATCTTTGTAAAGCTGGAAGCAGCTGTTCAAAACCCTGTCATTTTTATTTGCAAAATTGACATAAAGCATTTGAATTGCTTCCTCTTGCAACTTTTCATTACTTTTGAAGTACTCTTGACAGAAATCTCTGCCGATGTTGTTCAAGATTATCAGTAAAAGTTTCAGACTTCTGACTTGAAACTTTACCTGACTCCCATTTGTGCTTACATCCAAGAGAAATCCAAGCAGGTCATCAAGCATGTCTTCAAGGTTTTCTGTATTTAAGCTACTGCTTTTTGAAAAATGAGTGAAAACATGACTCAGAAAGTCATATAAAGGCTTCAACTGAGAATCTGGCTTTGAAAACTGAAGGATTTGGGTGAAAATATGCAAGATAAACTGCTTTAAAGATTCTGAGTTTGCATCCAACATCTCTATGATTCGAGATTTCCATTCAACTTTGAATTTTTTACCTCCAAGGTCTATTGCTTTGAGAAACATAGTATTCAATTCTTGCATAATTTCTTCACTTTGACTTCTATGTATTTAAATTCTAATAGGCTTACTCATTATCGGATTGATCATCATCAATGACCATTTGATCATTGTTCCGCGATGCTCCAGACTTTAGCGCCATATTTTAATTTTAGTAAAAATTATCAAGGATCATCCAGAGATTGGGGTTTTGGGGTTTTGGGGTTTTGGGGTTTTGGGG